AGTATTGTTCCAAGAACTCTTTTCCATATCGTCATTCAGATATGGGCTGTTTGCTGCCTGCTCACAGTATTCCAGGCTCCTTTACTTGCTGAAGCAAATAATGTTTTTCATGCCAATTGTTGCTAGCATTGCATGGCGAATTGATCTTCAGCAACACGAAATTTGTCATGCCTGATCAATCATGCACAGTATGGAGCAGCTAATGACTTAGTGGGTATAAAAGTGGACAGAATGAAATACTTTAGATTGCAATATTGGCAAAGGTGCAATGAATTATAATCACCCACCGTTAGGCGGTGTATCTGCCGCTAGGGTTTATCGGGTGTTAGCGGCAGTCGTGAGTTCCCTTCGGGAACGGATACGATAATTTCCTTTTTTTTAATGAATAATAATAACCGTTTTCCCGTTTGTGTCTTTCCCTCAAACTAGTGAAGATTTTATGACTTGGGGCTCCCCGCGTGCTAGAGTGTACGCGAAGTGTGTGGGTACAGTGAGGGCTGCGTCCCACCCGCCCTTGTGGATTCACAGGATCACTTGCGTTCGCTTTACCATTTCGGGCAACTCCTTTGGCACGGTTATCGGACGAGGCGGCCACTCAGTGTGCTGCTGGACGAGGAACTCGGGGCCGTTCCACCATACTGAATCATTGGCTAGCTGGGCTGCTGTCAAGCCTCTGGTGCCCTTGTCGGCTGGGTTCAGCTTTCCAGGAACGTGGTTCCACTGGCTGCCAGCTAAATACTCTTGTACTTCAGCTATCTGGTTGCCAACGTCGACTTTAAACTTTCTACAATGTGCTCTCACCCAGTGAAGCACGTTCATCGAGTCAGACCAGTTGGTTGCATCAGCCAGCGGCAGATCTAGCGCATCATTCACTGTCTTGGCCAGGCAAGCACCAAGCATGGCACCCTTCAGCTCCAGCTTCGGGATCGACATCTTCTTAATGGGACATGGACGCGTCTTGGCGAGTGCTAGCGTCACTCGCACGTTGCCGTCTGGGTACTCAGCATGGACGTACACGTTAGCCGCGTAGGCGGCATCTGAAGCATCCGTGAACAAGTGCAGCGACAATGTAGCGACAGTCGACTCGCGACCCGGACACTTGAAGCAGCGCGGCGCACGGATCAGCGCCAGATCTCCCCACTCGCTAAACCAGGGTGGCCATCTCCGTGTGTGCTCAGCGTCCAGTGGAACATCCCAGCCCACGCAGAGGTTGCACAGCTCCTGGAACATGACACGAGAGCGAATCGTGAAGGGAGCTAGTTTTCCGCGTGGGTCGAATATAGATGCCATCTTACTCAGCACGGCTCGCTTGGTCAGCTTCTCTGTGGCAGGTGGCTTGAATCCAAAGGTGAAGGTATCATCCTCTGCCGACCACATCACGCCTAGCATCTTGACTGATGGTAGCACACAGTGATCATGATCATTGATGCTAGCTACAAGCTGCGGTGAGCGGTCAGCTTCCGGTACGCCGTCCATCACCTCCGAGCCATTGCTGAGCCACTTCCGGAGGTGGAACTGCCCTGCTTAAGGATGTCCTGTACCGTCTGCTGTGTCCTGATGGCTTCCGGTACGGAGACAGCAGAGTGCAGTAGATCATCAACATACATGTCTCGGTCAACGATCTGCAACATGGCTGGGTCATACTTGTCGGCTGTCTCGCGGCACACCACTTGTAGCGCCTTGCATGCCAGGTAAGGAGACGCCTTGATGCCGAACACCAACCTCTGAAACTCGTATACGCGTGAGTCCCACACAAAGCGATGATATCGGCGGTCTTGCTCAACCAGCACGACTTGCAGGAACATCTCGGTAATGTCCGCCGTGAGCGCTACTGGCTCCCTGCAGAACCGCAGAAGCACTTTCACCAGGTCATTCTGCAGAGCGGGTCCAGCGTACATACACTCATTGATCTACGTGCTGTCATACTTGGCAGCAGGATCAAAGATGACACGTACCTTCGTGGTGGCCTTGCCATCTCGTAAAATTGCGAAATTCGGCAGGAACCACTGGTCGTCGCCATCTGCCTCAACCTCTTCTGCCGACACTGCGCGCACATTATTTATTATTTTGAGTTTCAAATTTATTATTTTATTATTATTTTTCAATTTTGTTTGAATAGGGCATTCCCACAGGCCTAAGGCCTTCTTACGGGTACCCTATATATTTTGTATGGATGAGCGGAAGTCTGGTAGTGTGGAGCAAATACGAACAGAAGCAGTGAGCGAATTCCAGCGATCTGCACCTAAGAAGGTTAATGCGTACAAGCCATAGCATATAGCTTTTGTCAATGTGGCTACATATGACTTTGCCGTATGCTGCGTTCAGCTCTGGACGCTTGTCCAGCAATTTCTCTAGCATGCGCAGGAGATGGTCTGCCATGGCGCGATTAGCAGTGACACCAGGCTCGACGTTGCTGTGGACCCATGGGATTGCCATGGTGACTCGCTGATCATGGAAGCTGATGGATTTCTCAACGATCACCTCAGCCACCTTTCTCTGCAGGGGTGATGTAGGTGCCTTTGTGCTTCATCCCGACTAGGCTTGTCCACAAAATGTTTTCAATTATTTCTGAATATTGGTTGGATTTTCGCAATTAGAATTTTTTTTGAATTTTGGCCTCATCAGGATTGAGTTTTAGCCGTTTTTGGAGAACGACAGTGCTGTCACATCTGGAGAGTACATGTGCTGCTCAATATTACCAAGTTTGACATGTGAAAACAGTACTTTCAAATACACACACCTTTGACCTTTGACCTTTTGACACCCATCCCCCGAATTTGGAAGCACACAGCAGTACAGACACACATGATAAGCAGTTTGTGGTTTAATTAATTTTTTTTTATTTTTTGGAAAAGTTGGGTACGAGTACTGTAAAAACCATGGCAGCGGATCGAATTTTTTCTGCATTTTGGGGGATTTTTGAATTTTCTTAAAACATTTTGACCGTTTTTTCGCTTTTTGAATTTCAATTTTGGACCAAATAATTCGCATGATGTGGCCATCCTTAATCCCGACTGCCTCCAGATTCCAGAAATCCTGGGCCAGGCTATCTATGCTGCATTCGCCGTATAGAGCATGCACGAAGACTAGTTGACGGACAACTCGTCATCACTGGGTGCACTGGGCGTTGGCCCCATACACACCCATCCCAGTGGCATCCTGCGGGCAATCGGTCCACCGCTGCTGCTTCTTTGACGACACCGTAGCGTCCCCACGCTTGACTGGCAAAGAAAACAGCAAGCAAAGAAAATCGGCCAGCGGGCACAGTTCAAACATCTTGAACGACACGCGCAAAGCAAAACACGTGACAGAAAATAATGCATGATGTCATCTGTACTCACGCGGACATGCAAAAAAAGGTCAAATCTACACAAAAGCGAGTGCCGCAAGACACAGCACAAATAAATAATAATTAAAACAGCGAAGAACTAGAAAGGCAGATTTCTAATTATCGAAGAACAAGAATGTATCGTAGAGTCCCAGCGCAACTGCCGGAGGATGCTGGCACCCACCAGACGGTTGGTGGCTGCCCCTGCCAGAGAGATAGAACGAAAACTGAAGCAGAGGAGCCACGTTACAAATAGTGAAACGCACAAGTTAAGAATAACCGAGCAGTGTCCAGTTACGACATACTGAGTAATATACAATGTTAAACGAAGACAAACACTAACAAATGGAGATCGTTCCAACAGTATCCTGGATTCGGTTTGGAAAAGGCTTGCTGTGGAGGTCCCAGCACTGGATGTTGTATCAAAGGTACGACCTCGTAGCACGCCCAGAACCTAAAAAAAGTCAAAAATTGACTTGGGTCTGTGGGAGTCTGTGACAGAACGCCCACTCTTGTCGTTGTTACAGATTCCAGGGCCGCGTTGAAGGGCCCTATCCCACCACCCATGGCTGCTTCTGGAGTTTTTTTTAGGTTTGAATCCTCTGCACGGATAGAATTGGCTAGAAAATGTGAAAACAATTGTAAACGTATTTGTTTGGGTACTGGGTGGCTCGCACACCGTGGCACTATGCCTGAATTTTGAGTTCTTCCGCCTGTAAAGCCTGTCAGTGAGGCGCAAGAACTTTTAAATCATGTCCAGAGAGCCAGCATAGTGGCAGGAGTGTGTGGTGCAAATTTCACTCAAATCCATTTAGACACACGTTACGGTTAATTGAATAATAATAATAATAATAATAATGACAGTTCGCATTTCACTCATTGCATGAGGTCAACGCATCTGTTAACAATTTCGAGCCAAGCAGCTCTATCAGAAGCAGATTGCACAGCATCCAGAAGCGACAGATTAATGCATTGTAAGTCTTTCTTGACAACGTCGATCCATCTCAGACGTGGCCGTTAATTGAATGCCATGTGAAATTTAGGACCAGGCTGCTACCTATTTCACTCAAATCCATTGAGACACACGTTACGGTTAATTGAATGCCATGTGAAATTTAGGACCAGGCTGCTACCTTAACATCCGTTGCAAGATGAGGGTTGTTACGTAGAGAAGGTCTAAGCACGACTGGGTCCCTGCAGGTGCTGTATGCGGTGGGGTATTCACAGGCTGGTCTAGTCCGAAGCAGGTGAGGTGGCGGTAAAGCGCAGCTCCCGTGGGGCACTTTGAGTCAGTTGGGCACCAGTGCTGGTGCTTACAGTTGAAGTCTCCAGTCAGTATGACACGGTACGAGGAAATTGAGAAAGTGACCAGGGCATCGGTGAGCATGTTACAGAAGTGATTTTGGCAGAGGGTGGGCGATATTGTACCTTAATAGGCTTTAGGGAGCCGGAATAAGGTTTATGCTGCACCCACAATGTTTCACAGGTACAACCTGGAAGGCTCATCTGCGGAAAGTTCGGATAAGAGGAAGGGATGCGCTAAGAAGATGTGCACCAGCTACATGTATGTCCCTAAGCAATAAAAACATGTCGAACGTTACAGGATAATGTATTCGCTAATTCATTTCCATTTTACTTAATAATGCCTTTCTTTTTATTTCTTCCATTTCAGGGCACGAGTTGTCGATTGGTTTATTGGGAGGCGCTGGAGTGATTTTAGTTATTATCGCAGTCATAGTCATCATCTGGTCACGACGTGAATACAAAGCCAAAAGGGAAGAAACAACACGGAGCAAATTTCATCGAGATGTGTTCTTCTCCGACTGCAAGCAGACCACGGGTATGACGTACTTGTCCAATAATCCAGCTTACAGCACCAAACAGGAGCCTATATATGAAGAAATTGATCTCCCAGATGAAGCCAACACAAAATCGTAGTAAATTGTCAACGGTAACCCTTCTTATTTACATGTTCTAAAAATCAGCATCATGAAAAATGTACGTGGAGCTATTGCTCACCTCTCCACGTCTCATCATTGTCAATTCCAAGTAAACCTATGTAGTAGAATAGCAGCATTCTTAGTACTAGTAGTAGTAGGCATGTTCTTCTTTTACTCTACCCCTCCCTCACTCCTTTTCACAACTACATCATTCTTATATTATTTCTTTTATTATAAATGTGTGTATTGTTTTTCCGTCTGGCATGGATTTTCTGCCCTTTTTGCAAGCATAAAGTATTGTTAGTCATGCATGCCAACATTGAGCCAAATGCAATTGACACGAACCCACTCGAGTCTTACAACATTCACACATATGGAGGAGTCTGCTTTTCAAGCAAATCCGCCTTTTTCGCGCACGTACTGCTATTGGATATGTATCCAAAGTCACGTGCCATACGCGGCACCCCCCCCCCCTTCTGCCACTGCTGGGAATTTAAACATAACTAAGTTCTCATTTTTGCTACATGGAAATTGTGGGCACACATTATGCGAATGTGTCAACCAACTAAACCAGCCCCTGAACAGTCAGACGTGCACAATGTAGTACAGAACTGACAAGGAGTACGGAGCAACTCCACTGCAAGAAAGTGTTGAAGTTTTGTGCTAGGTTGTGCATGTATGGTTGTTCAAAATCTGGTTTCTTTGGCAGACTCAATTGCGTAACTTTTGCCCACAACTACCACGTTACAATGTTTTTCTTGGCCCAACACCCGAGTTCTTTTTCTTTTTTGTTGCACCTTTTCCCCATTTCATTTCTATGTGCATATGACATCCATGCTTTCTTGTTATTATAGCTCTACTCTCCTGAACTGTTACTATCACCTCTCTACTGTACATTGTCCATTGCCCTTGTTCATTTCACTTTGGATGTGCTTCACCTGATGACAAATCTTGAACAGTATTCTAGTGAAACCGAAAACCTCCAAAATGTTCCTGAAGTGTGTACTCATTTTTAGTAATGTCGCTAGGCACCGGTGGATTATGCCGGCATAATAGACCCTTTGCACAATAAGCGATAGGGGTCGAGACAGGGCATGCTGTACGCGCGCTGCACACTTTTCATGCAACCAGCATGCATGGTTTGCTGCGAAACGTGATCAAGTTGCTTGTGACAGGTTGTGTTTTCACGGTCCCCACGCGATGTTCATGTATGTACTCCCCAGCCTTTTTCATTTTGAAGTTTTTTTAGTTCTGAAGGAAGAAGTTCCGAAATGCTTTCCAAGGACCACTGTTGGGTTCTTGTTTGCAGCCACCGTCATCCAGAGTCTAAGAAACCCAATTTTTTTCCATGAGTGCCCTGGTGATGCTGGCATTCCATTCTCTTGGATCCTGGCTATATGGCAAGAAGAGGGTAGCAGTTTGTTGCGACATCGTTCACAGTGTTTTGCTCGGAACACTGTGTCGATGACGAATTTCTTCCTTCCTTTACCGAAGGCGCGGAACGCCCTGCCAAGAGACTCTGTAGCTTGCATGACCCATCCCTGTCTTCGCTATTCCAGGAAGATCGACTGCTTGCTGGCGCTGCTCGAGCTGCTGATGTTGAAGTGCAGAGAGACGCAGCCTCGTCGCTCAGGCGTGCGGAGAAAGCCATATGAGTTCGAGCGATGGCTGTGTGCTCGATATGGCAGACTTTCACATTATGCACATAGCCACCAAATTAAAACTCATGGACACTATCCACGGGCTTCTTCACTAGTACTACTCCGTCAGCTCCCTCTTCTGTCGTCCGCGACTTGCCCCTGCGTTGGAGATGAGCAAGCCTGGTTGTTGTTGTTGTTGTAGAAGTTTATTTAACGTCGCACCACAAACAGGCGATTTCGCCTCCTTTGATACATGTGGACGACAGAAGGAATGAGAGAGAGGGGGGGACAGAAGTATGGAGAGAGGAAGGGTAGAAATAAATAAGCAATCAACCTCAGGGCTACACCAAAGCAAAAACGGAATGGGAACAGACTATATACAAAATAGCTTCATACATATAATTATTGCAAAACACGTTTACTATTCTTCAGTCCGCTATACCACAGAAACACACTAGCCGAAAAGCATTTAAACGGAGCCATGATGCGCTTTTAGCAGGGCACAGAACTGAAGGTGGCTGGGCTCGGAACGGAGATCAGGCGGGAGCTGGTCCCACAGGACTGCGCCGATGAACTGCATGGTCGCTCGACCCGCAGGACCGGGCCAGAATGGTACTCGAAAGAGGTGATGTGCTGCTCCCCGAGTGCGGTCACCAGTAACTCTCACGAAGAAGCTGGTGAAGAGGGAGCTAGCTCGGGAGAACAGACAACGACGGACGAAGATGAGGAGCTTAATGTAAAACATGTCCTCCAGGGTGGTGAGGCGGAGCTGTTCAAAGATCAGGCTCGTGCGCGACCACGGTGGCAGACCGAAGAAGCCGCGGATAGCGCACTTCGTTAGACGTGCGAGGGGCTCCATGTTGCCAATTTGAAGTGGCGGATAAAAGGCGTTGGAAGCGTACGACAACCTACCCTGGATCATCGACCTGTAAAACAGGATCTTTGACGCCAGGGTGAGGCTTCGGCGGCTCCGCCACAGCGCACCTACTGACTTCCGCACCTGCTGGATTGTGTGATTGACGTGAGGCTCCCAGGAGAGCTGCCCATCTACCATTACGCCCAGGTACCCCGCTTGTTCCACAACTGCAAGGGCTGCATTCCCACAGCGAATTCGAATGCTATCTGTGTCAGGGGCTGGGCCTCTTGGTGTAATCAACAGAGCTTGCGTTTTCTTTTGGTTCAGCATTAGTCTGCGGTCCTCCAATCACTGCGACAGGCCAGTGATGGCTGTGCTTAGAGAAGAGCACACTTGTTCGCAACTGCCCGAGGCTTCAAGTGCAATGTCGTCTGCAATTTCCTGGTTTGTGACCTGCTGGGGCAAGCAGCATCGAAGGTTACGGATATATAGTGTGAACAGGAGGGGGCCGAGGACCGGGATCCTTGCGGCACCCCTCGATTGCATGCGACGTATTCCGAGCAATTTCCGCCCACGACTACGCGTTGAAGCCGCTCACTCAGGTAACTAGTGAACCATAGGTGTACAGTACCGCCGACCCCAATGTCGGATAGCTCCTGTGCCAAGATGGTGTGTTTGAGCCTGGTGTGACACTCACTCATTCTGGGAAACAAAGGTTCATCACTCTTCCGCTAGGACGCATGAAAATTGATGTTGGTCACGAAAATGTCGGTTCAGCTCGTTCTGTTGATCGCAATTCTAAAATAGTACAAGTAATAGTGATAATAATAGCGCGGGCTTGCGACTAGTTGGTTTGGAGGTGACAGCGCTGCGAATGACCGAGGGTCCTCGACGTCTGACTCACCGTCCAGGAGCGACACTGACTCACACTGCTATCTGGTGTTCACGAGGTGTTTGTCGCGCTGGAAATGGAGCGTCCCTGTAAGTTTGTACCCCTGGTGATGTTTGTGCCTGGAGAGCACTATATAAGTGGTGCTCTTCAGGCACAATCTTCCTCAGCCTACTCAAGCTCAACTGTTGAGGGGTGAATTCCCCGAAACACTGTGTATTGAGCAGGGAGTGGTGCTTTCTTGCAGGTTTGCTGAGTCGAAGGTTCGATGGACTTCTTGTGTGCTCTGCATGGCAGTCGTGAGTCAGTTAAGTGTTAAGTAAAGTCGGCGGAATAGCGCGAGCTCCGGTGTGGGGAGCAAACACTTTCTTTATAATAATAATAATTGTTTTTCGGTCATTACCAGTGCGCTCATTGCTATAGGACCATCACCCATTGCTATATTTAGACGTGGTCATTCCGATGCTTCGGGAATACTTGCTCTAGGTTAAAGTATGGAAAATAATGAGGGGCTTTTTATACCATAACTCGACAAATGGTGACATTTCGGAAATGATGGTGGGCTGTCTGCAAATAATCAGGGGTCACACACGTCCAACTCACGGGCATTCTTTCGATGTTTGTTCCACTGGATGACTTTTCATGCATGAAGACATTCTTGTACTTCGAAGTATAATTATTATGTTCCGAGCCGACAAGAATAGCAAGTTGTTGAATCGAAGCGCAAGTATGGCTGTGTGGGTTATTATTATTATTATTTATTCACAATCACGTGGCACTAGCCAATGAAATGGTGATGTGGGCGATAGCCAGCCATGGCGGTAATACAGCTAGAGGGGGGAAAGAAAAAGAATGAACTGGGAACTGAAAAGCAAAAGAAGCTAGGGCAGGGCTGGATATCAACTAGTATGTTGCATTCTGCAGTAGCTGTGTGAATGTATTGTAACATTGGCAGGATCTTAGATGTTGTGGGAGGAGAGACCAATGGCGGTAAGCAAGGAAGAGAGGAGATGTTTGCAGAGAGGCAGACCGCGCAATAGGGAAGCGGAGAGAGTTTCTGGTGCGCATGTCTTGAGATTGAGCAAACCAGCTTAGGCAGGAGAGAGCATGAAGAGGAGCAATGCCCAGCTTAATTTTATGAATTGTCTGGCATGCCAAAAAACGCACGCGGACCGAGAGCGGCACAGCAGAAGCAAGGCGGTATAAGTCTGCGCTTGGAGTCAGGCGAGGACGCCGAAATAATATTTTCAAAAGACGCCTATGCATAACTTCGAGTCGAGCAATCAGTGTTTTAGAAATGCCAGCCCAAATTATGCAGCAGTAAGCAAAAATAGGCAGAATGTAAGATGTGTAGATAACATGGCGACAGTCGGTGTGGAGGTGGGTGATGTGTGATGAGAGAAATCCCATTACTGAGCTAACTCGGCTGTCTAAATTTTCGATCTGGGATTTCCAGGTTAAGTGTTGGTCAATAATGACGCCAAGATGCTTGTGTTTTTCAACGATGCAGAGCGGGGTTGTGGTGCCTGGAAAGGTGAAGGGACTGGTTACTAATGAAGATAGGTCACAGGAACAACTGGGGGGGATACACATTACAGCAGTTTTCGAAGAGTTGGGTTGCAATTTCCATTTTTCCATCCAATGAATAACGCCATCTATGTTGGACTGTAACTTGGCACTAGCCTCGGGGAGAGTGGGTGCTGTCACAAGTAGTGCTGTATCATCAGCATATAGTGATGTGTGATCCATTTCTGCCAGATCGTTTACATACATAAGGAAGAGGAGAGGCCCCAGGATTGATCGCTGAGGAACTCCAGACCGTACATGCCCTTTGGCAGACAGAGCAGAGCCGACACGCACCCTTTGCTGTCTGCCCGTCAGGTAAGTACTGAGCCACGTGAAGCAAGTACCATGGATTCCATGGCGCGACAGCTTGTATAGGAGCCCGCGTGTCCAAACGGTGTCGAAGACCTTGCTTAGATCAAAGAAACATAGCATGCTGTAATGGCCGTTCTCACGAACAGAAGATATCGATTTAACAAGTCTGAGAAGCTGCCAGGACGTAGAGTCACCTTTTCGGAATCCAGACTGGGCGGATGTAGAACAGGAGACAGGTAAGTGTATAAGTGGTTGTACATAATACGTTCACACAGCTTGGAGATTGTTGACAATAACGACCGTGCCATGATACAGACGCCGCCATATGCATGGGTGGCATCGGTAGCTGACCTGTTTTCATCTGGCGGACGATCTCGGCGAAAACAGTAATATCCAGGGACCGTGAAAGACGACTGTGGAGAGAGCCATGTTTCCGTTATGCAAACAATGAGGGGTTTAACTGTGGAACAAATGTGAGCCAGCTCGGCAGTCTTGTTCTTAATGGACCTGGCATTGATGCACATTGTAGGCTGTGATCCTGCGGTTGGCTGTGAAAGTGGGTACAAATGCTGAGCTAATGGATTAAGTGTGCTGTTAGTAGTAATGTTTGGGGAACAGTGAGGAAGTATCGGGGGGTTGAGGTTCATTATTGTGCAGACTGATCGACGGTTGTGTTGTCAGCTGTACTTATTCTGTCAGCCTTGAATCGCCATTCT